TAGTGTGAATACAATAACTCATGATGCCCAAATATAATTAGAGGATTGTTTTCACTGAGGTCCAGATGACACTTGAAAATATCCAGCCAATGTGGTTGCACTGGTGAATGTAAATGTATGAAATATCCATAATTATTTTCAACCTCTGACAAAGGTCCTTTAACTTTCAAGTATAAAATCTCTCCATCCCCTCTCAAGCCTAACAAATCCGACTGAAGGCACTGACGTGAATTCAATAAAGCATATCAATATTTCCACGACAACACTCATCATTATTTCCCAAATGGTAAACAATTTATGATGATTTGACTTGCTAAACAGATATGAAATGGGGAATACACTTTTTTTTTGATGGATGGAAAGAAGGCTGATTTCATCAAACCAAAGGCTGTGCTCATTGGCTCTCCGCTGTGACCCCATTGGAATTGATGACACAGATAGCGGGGGAGTGGTGGGGGTTAGTGTGTTCATGGCTGATAAGGCAGACGGGGAGGCTGGATCTGAGATACCGGCAGAAAACACTTATCTGGGTACTCAGAGAGAGCGCTCTGCCAAGGCTGAGCCCTATCGCGCTCGCAAAACAGCCAGAGTGCTTTGGAGCCAGAGCTGACATGTCTGACTGATACCGCCCCAAAAGAAGTCTATTTCTTCAACCAAAACCAATTTCCGACTTTGACACTGAGATACGGAGAAAATGAATGTTGAGCGAACGAGTATGCTCACTGGGTCAATTGCACAGCAGACAGTCAAATCTCAATTTACTTTTTACTGCATTGTGATTTGACTCGCGGCTCGTCCTGAGGCCCATCGATATTCTTTATGGCTCTTCCCCCGCGGCACCTCCATCTTGCGCTGCTGTTCTCGCTGGGTCCAGATGGAGAGGTCGGAGGCTTGTCCATTGTTCATGAGCTTTTTAACATGCCGGGATGCTGGTGACCTACTGTTTATTAGCCTAACCCCCGTGTGGTGTGCAGACTTGGCAGCCTCATGTGCAGCCTTTACAACACATCGACCTGCTGTTTTCTCCAGACACTAATAATTGCGTAGCCCCTCCGTTCTACCTACTTCCTTCCTCAGCTTTCACACTGCACTGCAATCACTATAAAAATCTGGCTCGTATCTGGCTGCTGCCTGTGTCGAGGTATTGATGTCAACTTCTGGGACTCGTCTAAACTTACTATGTAACTAACACCTTCCCTCCCAGGTAAACAGCTGCAGGGTGAAAGCCCCAGTCTCCCTGCAATATCAAGAGAGCGTTTGGCTAGTGACTACTTGTGAACTTTAAAAAAATGGAATTGTTATCAGTGTATTTTCTCAAGGGGGCACCAACAGGACATGTATCATAGAGAAGTGTGGAAATTTGTCAGACTGCATGAATCACTTGTTTGTACCAAACAAAACTATTTTCATTCTAGAGGACAGACAATCACCAATTTCTTTGCGGAATATCTTTGACGTTTGAGTTGTACGGTGACTAGAGTGGTGGATTCAGACATTGGAGGCAGAGATTTTTCTGATAAAGTCTAAAGAATGCTGAGTAAACATGTAAGAGGACTTTGCAAGGCCTTTCAAAGACTGCATATTTTAGCACTTTACACTGAAGGTTTATTGGTTACTTCCATTCAAACAGGATGGAAAGGATTTTTTTTCTCTCCACTATAAATGGAAGCGAGCGTGTTGGCTGCGATACCCGGACATCTGTTTGTCCTTGTCTGTGATGAAAGCCTGAAGCGTGTTGCGTGTCCAAATTGGGAGTGCCTTCCATTCAGACACTTGTATGAGCCTAATGACCCCGGTCCCCAGGGTCGGCTCTTCATTGGCTTCCCCTCTTTTTTACTATTTTCCCCAATTTAAATTGTCTGTCCCTCTCTGAAGGGCCCCCATCTTCTTCCAAGAACATTATGGCTCATGCATTCCAATGTGTGAGGTCACTGGTGGAGGCGAAGTGTCAGTGCGAAGTGTCTACCACATGTAATCATCCATTGGATGCCTCCAATGGAGGGTATGGACAATACAAAGGTATCCCGGATCCCACAGCTCGAAGACTTCCACTCCATTCCCGTCGCACATTAGCATCCGAGGAACATTAAAAACCACCTGGAATGCTTTAAACAATGGAATTACTTCCATTAGGGGGGTCTTTGTACTGTGGTAATGACTAATCGAACTGGGGCTGAGTGGGGCACAGGAAAATCCAACTGTGGTGACTTTTGTGGGAAACAAACATTTATTTGAACAAAGGCACGCTACCCTTTGATGCAATCCTTCAAGTTCAGCCGAGGATGTTAGAATTTGAGAAGACAGGATTCTTCTTCTGTGACCAGATTTTCCGCCTGTGGTGCTAGAGTACAATTCTGAGGTTCGCCCAAACCACGAAACACACATTATTTTTAATGTCTGTATTTAAAGCAGTGATTTCTGTTTTACTGCCTGACGTTCATCTTTTAACATTAGACCTTCAGTTTCACTGTGCTTAATGTGTCTTTTGGTTTACTAGATTCAAGGTATTTAGAGCCATCTGGACCACAGGTGGTCATATAAACCGGGCAGCACAGTCCAGGTGAAAACATCCAGAGATGTACTCAAATTATGTAAAATCTAGGGAAATTTCACCAAACCCCATGGTAGACAGCACGGCAACTCAGCAGAAACCATGGACAATGGAGAAGAAGAGAGACAAAGGGAAGAGCAAGAGAGGAGGTGACATTGAGAGTCTGGATCAGTCTGAATTAAAGATGATGTTCATTTAATCCAACCCAAAACATCTCGGCATATCTGCTGAGCCTTGCCCAGCGTGGGTCATCTGAAAAACCCACGATTACTGTTTGCTTTCAATCACCAGCGAAAGAGCTAAGTGGGGTTAAAGACAGTCATCCTCTCAGAGAGCTTTGTGGGGCATGGAGCGTCGGGAAGCGAACAGCTGTCCAAACAAAGGCCTGTTTCCCACTCATCGTTGTGCCGAGTGTCACTGTCAGTGGCTATCATGTGCCTAGCCAAAGCATCATCAAACATTAATGCAACCAAGCCTTTCCTGCCACCAACAATCGGACAGCAGATATGCAGAAAAAGTCAGTGTGTGATATCCGGAATAGGTCGAAATGAGTCAAAAGAAGAAGTATTTCAGATGGATTGAGCTGAACCGGCAAACCTGAAGTCACAGCTGCTTCATTGTGTCCGCATCTCCTCAACACACACAATTACCATCCGGCAGATGCTGCCCTGGTATCCTGTGGGTCTCCTCCATCACAGCCCACATTATATCTCCGCACACGCCCACATCTCGCTCTCCTCCTCACCCGTTTACCGCTCACCCTCCGCTCTAACCCTCTGTCACTATGATTTACATAGGCGTCCCCATATCGGGCACCGTAAGGATACGATTTTTCCGCAAACGGCTTCAATGTCAATCTGTGAGCCCTGCAATAAATCCTGCCTCAAAGAACTGCTAACCCACAAAAATGCTAAAAAAATAGCACATTCATTTGCCTGCAAATCAAAAAAATCATAAGCAGTTAAACACACCCTTTCTCAATTCATCATTCTTACGTTGTCTGGTATGACCAACAACAAACTTTATCCAGACTTGTGAGTCAGGTCGCTGACTCAGTAGCACTAATGACTCTTCTTTACTTGTGCTACTTTTACACTATATTTTAGCGTTTACCATTAACCCGTAATCGGCCACCGATGTTGCCGTTTAGCAAAAGTCACACCAGCTCACTTTAATTCTTAACATTTGTTTGACAAACTCGATGGACACTAAAGATTGTAAGACCTTTAGCAATCCAGAAATTATATTTCTGCTGTCAAACACCCACATCAGCGAACACCATCTTATTTACTGATCCATCCTCTATTTCATACTGTCTGTTTCTCTTTCTGCAATGTCTGTGTCGGATGCAACTGACAAACAAATGAAGCTGCCCTCAAGATAGGAGACTGGGAAGCACATGGAGAGGGACAGCCACTGCCAGCGTGTGTGTGTGTGTGTGTGTGTGTCTCAGTGAGGCTGCCAGTTTACAGCCGGCAGTGTGAATGCTGGAGATCTGGGAGAGGAACCAACCAGCAGCATCTAATACATAGCAGCTGTCTGTCTCCTGGGTTACACAAGCCTAATGTCTGCTGGCAACCATAAAGTGTACAGCTGGAGCTATTCCGGCAAGCAGCAAATACGGACACACACACTGACCCTACCCATCTCTCCGATCAGCATCAGCCCCAACGCATACAGAACAATTCAGTGGATCATCACAGACTTCCATCTCTGAAGACATTACTCTTTTTTTACCTGCTCTGGTAATAAAATGGGAAATAGCCAGCAAGTGAGAGGAAAAACTTTCACAGCAAAACATAATTGGCGCCCAGTTGCATTCAGTGAAGTACGAAATTCAGTCGGTCTCTGAAGTCCTCCCTTGTAAAACATGAGGGTGATTTTCAGAAGCTGCTCTGATGGCTGAAAATCCCACATTTTTCACTGGAGGTGAGGATATATAATAGCCACACATAATGATTAGCTGATTAGTTAACTGAAATTTAATTGACAAAATTCAATAATTTGGGTCGTTTATCAAGCACAATTTTTAAATGTTGATTGCTTTTAGTTTTTTCAAATGAGAGTATTTTGCTGATGTTTGTATCATTGAAAACGTAATATTTGAGGCTTTAGGACAAAATAAGTGATTTGATGTCACTTGCTGTGAATATCATTTTTTTAAATGTTTTGTTGACTAAACAATTATAATCAACAGAAAAATTGCTAATGCCCTTAGTTGTAGCCCTACAGTCAATTTCATAAAAAATGATAATGAAATAATTCCTCCAGAAAGTTTTGATATCAACTTATATAAAAGAGGGAAAAAGCTGAGTGAATATGGTTGAAGTTATAAAGTTGTTCAGCTTTGCAATACATTTTTCCTCAATTATCTTAAAGTCCATTCAGCCCATTCATTCTGCTCCCATTCAAGCACACCGGCTCCGTGCAGGTAAAGAAGGTGACTTACCTCACGGGCGCAATGCTCACGGCTCCTCCACTGATTAGAAAATGTAAGCAGAAGCAGGCGTTGAAGACCTCCTTATCAGCCTGCCCCGACAAACGTTCTCACCGGTGTGTATCTCTCAGAACGCTGACAGCTCTGACATCTTCTCTCTTCCCTCTGTTCTCTTAGTGTTTACTCGAGTCTACCTAGAGAGCCGGCTGATGTTGTGCAGCCAGTGAGAAGAGAGAGACGGAGAGCGGCAGAGTGAGAGAGTGAGAGAGAGGGAGGGAGGGAGTGAGTTCCCGTTCTCTTAAACAGTAGACCCTCTGCGGTCAGACTCCACTCCCACCTACTGCTCTCTTAAATGCCCCCCACCCATTCACCCTCTCCACAGCATTGTGACTGAAAGCGAAGGAGCTGAAACGGGACGCCTCAAGGCTGGAAAGGGAGAGAGAGTGACTGAGAGAAAGAGAGTCAGAAAGGAAAGGTGGGGATTCGAGGGAGGGAGGGGGGGGGTATGGTTGGACCACTAGCAGCAAATTGCAGCGGGCAAGCTAATGAAAGGCAAGATATGAGTGAATGCAGGGCCTGCATTAACATAGCGTTTAAGAAGTTGAAAGCAGGGAGTGAAGGGGGAGCTCCATTCGTGAGACTGATGAGGATGCAGACGAACACTGAATGTATAATAAAATGAGCAATGCTGCTATTTTTGGTTGTCCTGTATAGAAGACGAGTCACACCAGAAAGTGGCACTGTGAAACCAAATCTGTCTCCACCAAATATTTGGTCCTAAAAGCTTGACAATATATTGACTACTCTCCGGTCTGGCTGGGTATGAGTGCTCCATAACTGTACGGTATTGCCAGAGAAAAAAGCAGCACCAAGTAGTATCGAAACTTCTCCAGTCAAACGATACCTGCAACCGATCCTATTTATTCCTGCATGTCGGAAATAAACTCATTATTTGTATGGTTTTGCTTGAAGCCACAAGCGTTCTTCGATTTAAAGCGATGTGTGATTGGCCCACAACCAACAACCCACACAGCAGGGATTGCCTGTCTGCTCACGGCTCTCAACAGGGAGTATGGCTGAGCCGGCGGCTGGAAGCTAACTGTGTTAACAGCACGAATAGTGTTAACAGCGCAAACAGTGTTAAACGACTTGGCATTTGCTTGCGAGATCCAAGGGCTGGTCTACGGCAAAACGTCTTCTGTCGTGGAAACCCCCAAAGACGGCAGAGGGAGCGGCATAGTTGTGTTGACCAATTATGTGGGTACATCGCTGGAAGTAGGAGGCGGTGGGCACTGGCATCCTGGTGCCAGGTGTCCCGGTTACGGCAACTTGCTGTGTTTTCTGAAAGTAGGCGGCGGAGGGCGCTGGCATCCCGGTGACGGGTGCCCGGGCTAGCAACTTGCTGTGGTCGCTGACAGTAAACGGCAGGGGGGGTGTACTGGCATCCCGGTGTTGGGTGTCCTGGCTACGGCAACTTGCTGTGATTGCTGGGAGTAGGGGGGGGGTGCTGGCGTCCCGGTGACAGGTGCCCAGGCTAGCAACATGCTGTGGCTGCTGGAAGTAGGTGGCCAGGGGGCACTGGCGTCCTAGTGCCAGGTTGCCTGACCCGGGTTCTCCTGCTAAGGCTGGTTGGTGTGATTGCTGGAGGTGGAGAGCTTGGGGCACTGGCGTTCTGGAGAGGGCTGTTGTAGTAGGCCGCGGACGTTCAGGTTCTCCTGCCAGGTTTGGCTGATGTGTCTGCTTAGAATGAAAAACTGGGGTCGCGGGCATCCTGGTGCCAGGTTCCCGTCCCATTCTCTGCTACCATGGCGCAGTTGCTAGGAACATGGGAAGCTGTATAACAGATGAATGAGCAGGAACTGTTCTCTTCAATGAGTGTAAAGGGTTTAAAACTTGTAATCTACGACGAGTGTTGTAGACGGCTTGGTAGCTATGCTCGTTAAACGTGGCTGAATGGACGGTTCTCAATTTGTCTGGAGATGACCACGAATTGCTGCGGGCGCCATATGTATTGGATACGAATTGGATGGCGAACGATTGGATTCGAGTCAGGTCGAGACGAACGGCACGGTAGATTAATGGTTCCATTTTGGTTTGGATGTCGTATAGCATTTAATTAGAGAGTCCTGTAAGGGCGGTTGTCCCACTACGTTGTTGCATTGCTGCGCTGCGTTGCGTTGCGTTGCGTTGCGTTGCTGCGTTGCGTTGCTGCGTTGGGCTCCGTTGCTGCGTTGCGTTGGTGCTTAGAGAGGGGGACAGAGGAAAGAAGACCTGGCAACCCGGTGCCTGGGTATTGGCAGAAGAAGGGTGGTGTAAGGGAACAGCAAAGGGACAGACAGGTGAATCTGGCCAGAAGGTGGGATGGAATACTGTGGAAATTGAAGGGAGGAAGAGAGTTGGCATCTCGTTGCCACTATGGACAGTTGAGTTTGCTTGAGGTAGTGGAGGGGGATGAGAGGTGACGCGCTGCAACCTGGCAACCTGGAACTTTATGGGTTGGAGGGTGGAGCTTGGGGGTGCGTGGTGGCGTCACGGTCGCCGTTACGCCGGTGTGTTTTGGATGTAGGTACGTTTGTGTTTTTTAGCCTGACATGACTTTAGGAAAGTTGTGAGGAGTTGGCACAGTTTTGCTTTGTTGTCGGAGCGGTGGTGAGGAATCCCTTTCGATGCTCTTAGCAGACGGACTATGGTCCAGTTGGAGATCTTAGCTGGTGCGTCTTCGATGGGGGACCTGGCTGGAGCGCGGGAGTGGTGGCGGCATCTTTGAGCATCGTGCCGGGTAGCCAGAGTCGTCGGAGACTCGTTTCCAAGAGCTGGGTCTGGAGCGAGCGAAGAAGGTGAGAGCTGGATTTACGTTTCTGTTGTCTACATCTGGAGGTGGTAGGTCTCCCTCTGCCACCGAGAAGTGAGTTATTGGAGGATGGCTGTGGGTCTGAATCTTCGTATTGTCGGATTCTGGTGGGTGGATACAGCTGGTCGGCGTGGTGGAGATCGGCGGGTTTGGCTGCGTTGAACTGCCTGGACCCTCTCGATGGTGGTTGGCGGCGTCTCGTGGGCAGCAGGTCGAGTGCTTCCCTGGGCTGTACGGGAGGTGAACTGGCCGTCGTTGTCGGATGGCCTGATGAACGGCAGGTCCATGTTTTAGGCGAGGTAAGGTTTTTTGTTTTGTTTTCTCTGCGTGGCGTTCCGGTTGCGAGTGCGGAGAGCGCGAGCAAGCTGAGGCTTAGAGTGGGTAGGTATTTGTAGGAGTGTGGCCGGAAGTGGGGGAGTGGCTGAGGCGTGGTCCTGCTTCTGAAATTCAGCTAAGATTTATTTACAATAAGTCCCAGCTATAGTCATCTGCAGACATCTGTTTGCAAAAAAAATTCAGGCAGAAATAAAAACCTTCTTCTTCAGTGTATTCAAACTTATATTACTCAATGCCAGTAGCAGAGTGATTCTGACTATTGGGGAAAACACTTCAGTGTTACCTTTTAAAAGAGACAAAAACCATGCATGTACTCCAAATGGTTCAAGAACAGCTTTCAATTTTGGGTATGCCTTGGATAGGCAAATTAGGCTAATTTTACTGTAATTTTACATTAAAAAATGTGCAGTTCTCCATGCATGGCCATACAACAAGCCTGATCCCATTAGATTAAACAAAATGTTGACGCCCCCTGGATGTGTTACTGTGAACCGAATAAACTTCTGAAAACCTTGACACCATGAGTTTTGTTCCAAATGGCATGAGTATTGAACATGAGAAAAAAAACTTAAGAAAAATCTACTAGTGCTGGCATAGTTTACAGCACGGCCAAGCTTATTGTGTATTTCCAAAATTCTTGCCTTGACTTTACCAAGAGACATGATGGAAAAGGCCAAAACAATGTTGACATGCTTTTATTTGAGTCATCGTATATTCTCCACTATGACACGCTAAAACAAGCAATTTTAGGGCCCCACGCTCATTGTTGTTGTCGACTCCCATCTTGTCTCTTCTTGCAACCATCAGGTTGATATTCTTATGCCGTCATATAGAAGACAGTCAGCAACGACAACACCCTTAGTCAACGACTAACACCCAAATGTCCAGCAGTAGCCGAGAATCCCTTTGGGACGTGTACGCAATTTGGGAAAGGTGTATTCTGCCAGTTACGATGAAAACTACTGCACAGAAAAGCAATTACAGAAAGCAACTGCATAGAAAGGTGGTAGCCAACAAAATGTCGACCATACATGCAATTTAAAGATGGGGTTTGATATCACGGAAAGCTTATGGGTTAGTATCGGAGTTTGAGTTAAACTCTGGAAATTGCATTCTTGTTTGGCTGTCATCGGCCCGACTGGTTGCATCTTCGCCACCGACACATCCATTCAACTGCTCAGGCGGCGACCACCAACCTGACACACAGCCGTGTCAGTAACCGTCTCTTGATTGGACTTCGCTCGGGGTACGCTGGTTGCAATTACCAGCCGTTCTGCGCTCGAGACTGTGATGTAAACAGGCAGAACCTTGAATAAACACAGGAACAAAGAGCTGAGGAGGATCCTGCGCCACACAGCTCCTATCGACCGCTTGTTGTGGGGGGAGAAAAAAAACGCAGATTTCAAGGAGCAGAGAAATGCGCATCAAAAGGTCTTCCATTAGAGCCGGCGTGGAGGGCGGCGTGACACTCATTAAGTCAGAATATGACCGTCACAGGACTGATCACACTGGGCTTTGCTGACGCTGATGATGGTGGGGAATGATAAAGACCTCCACAAATCTATTTTTTTGCTTGATGTATCACTTCCTGAGCAAACTTTGCAAAAGTGCTAATGACGAGGGTCCAGGGGAAACAAGTCATTTGGAGGCTAAACATATGTATGTTTTCCTAACTTATATGAAAAAGCCTTTGGGAAAATATGCTTTATCAAAGCTCAAAGACGTGTTGATAAAGATCGGTGGTATGTGAGGGGAAGATTCATACCGAACGGTGGTGGGGTGTGTGTGCTGAGTGGAGCTCTTTTCCCAGGAGGGGAAATGATCCTCGTCTTGTTGCTGAGAGCCGGTAGCCAGTCAGGCAGAAAAGATCCTCTCTAATCCCATATACAGCACAATGGCACATATGTAGCGCGGCTATCGGGTGATAAAGAGCAAATTCAATGACTCGAGGGGCCTTAAATTCATTTTCATCTCCCGCTCCCAAGAGAGAGGGAAGAAAATCTATACAGTCTGGGGGCATGGATCTTTTTTTTTTTTTTAATGACTGCTGCCTGTAATGATCATCATTTAGATGAGATGATGGGCTGAAAGCTTGGCTATGTATAGCAACTGTTTTAAATTACTTTAAATGTAGACTCTCTCTCTCTCTCTCTCGGCTTTTCACAGAGAATTGCTGTGGGAGTTCTCCGCCTCCCTGTTTGCAAAGGCGTACCTGTTCATCGACTTTCAGAGCAAGT